TTTTGAAAAATGGCATTTTCGTAAAAATTTCAAAAGTGTGGTATTTTTGTAAAGTAACACTTGAAAAATGGTATTTTTTAAAATTTCTTTTTTTTTTGCTATACTCGCATTTAGATGGATTTAGTGGTTTTTCTTTGATTCTTTAAAACTATTTTTTTTTCTTCAAACATGTCAATGGATCTCCAGCACATTGATCATCTCTTTTACTCTATGGCTCACATCTGGTTAGATATTCTCATCAAAAACTAACTTATTTTTTTTTATGTATTTGTTATCTTTAAATGAATTAAAAAAAATAAGACTTGTAGTGTGATTATTTGATCTTTGTATCAATCATTACTTCATCATGTATTTTTAATGTGAATATTGTGCCGAATGTTTCCAATACTTGAATTATTTGTTTTCGTCTTTCTCCTGCTAATTTTTCGTTCTGGTACGTGAAATGAATAGTCCTATGAAATTTCGCTTCTCCAATTTTATTTTGGAATTCCATTATTCATTCAAACATACCTCATTTTCGATACATAAATATACTATGAAATAATGTGCGGAAACGAATCCAACACTCACATAGTCCGAGCATTCTAACAAAAGAATATGTTAGGACATTTGCCGAGAAAACTATTTCGTGTCTAGTCAAAAATAAGTTTCAACAACTAATAAAATAAAGAAATTAAAGTGATTAATTATTGTTAATCCATAAATTTGAACATTTTGATGGAGATATGCATGCTAAAATAGAAATGCAAATGAAAGAGGATGATAAGGTAAGTAGGTAGGTTTTTGGCTGCCGCCGTCTTTCAGCCATATCAATTGAGACTCGCCCCATGGATACATTTGACTTAAGCGAAATTTTCAGGCTTTTGGGATGTCACTTTTCGAAAATGTTATTTTTCCAAAATTATTTATTTAATATATCATTTATATTCGAACTAACTATGTTGTATTAGGGTTTATTAGGGGTTAAAACATTTTTTTGGGTTTAGAATTTTAAAATTTAAGAATTTAAAAATCCTTAATTAGTGGGATTTTTGCAAAAATTTTGAAAAAGTGACATTTTTGAAAAGTATCATCCCAAAATGGTATTTTTGCAATTGTCCCTTTATTTAATAATACATAAAGATTTTTTTTTTTTGAGAAAAGAAAATAAATTCTTGCAATAAATATAGATGTTATTTATTTTTATTTTTTTTTGGTAAACTATAGATGTTATTTTATGAGTTGTTATTTGTGAGTTGCTACATTATTCGATGAATTACAACGGCTTTAGGACAGTCTTACTATATAATTTTAGGGTTCTTACTAGAAATTTGGTGATAAATCGAAATACAACATTGTTTGCATAAAAGTTTTAAAAAAAAATTGTTTGCATAATAAAGCAAAGAAAAAGGTTTAATTATGGTGACAATGGTAAGAAAATGAATAAAAATAAGCATGATACGAAGTGATGGGGGTAATGGAGAGTTAGTGGGCCTACGTGAGAAGAACGTTTGAGCCTACAAAATGGAATGGAATCCTTTGTGACCGTTGCTAATATTTTTATTAGCTTTTAGTTTTTGTTGGGAATCAATTTTAAAGAAGACGGTAGCAAAAAGCATTAGATGACAAAAAATAATCATCAAAATATTGGGGTGAGTGGAATTTCAATTAGAGTAAAATTTGTCAGCTGAAGTTTGAAGAAACATGTTTCCTTTCCTTCTTTATCTAAGACATCATCGGTTGAGTTGAGAAGAATTTATTTTTATATGGAATTCCTCTAAACCCATTCTTTAAAGGAAAGTCATTGGTATCAAAACTAACTCCAATGTCAAAGAGTATGCTTAAAGATAGATGAATGAAAAAAATGATTTAGAGATGAATGTAATATA